AAATGTTTGTACTGCTGAGTAAATGTAAAGAGCGAATGAAGGGCAGCAGACCATATGTTTTAATCTAAATTTGCCAGGAACCTTTAATACAAACATGTACGGTACAGCTTGCTTGTCACTTCTGTATACCCAAGTCAGAACTCTCAAACATGTTAGATAATGTGCCTTGGATAAACTATGGAAAATACAACTGACCTTTATATTCTTGGGATTTTCCTACTACCTAAAGCACCTCTATGGTCTCATATAGAGTAGCAAGGTACCTTGCAAACTTAAATTTTACCAAACATCTCTTTGTTGTTAGTTTTAATGAGAAAATTAGTGGGTTATGAATACAAAAGAGTACAGCAAATTCAATGACTTTTTTTTTGCTGTCCTGTATTTCCTCATTGCTTACTCAAGATTATTTTTAAGTTTACATTGCTTGAAAATGGTTGTGCATACAGCTCTTCCTCACAATGCAAGGAGTGGATTTACTGAAGGAGCCCACTTATCTCAGTAAAACTTAATTTGAATTTAATAATTTATTTATATGCAAAATAAATTCCTTAAAAAACCTAATCATATATAATTATATGCAAATTATTTACTGTTGAGAAAAAACCTGCACATGACTGAGTGTTGAAAGTGAACACTGAAAAATGTACACCTGCAAATGATCCCTTGTAAGTCTACTGAACAACTGGAAACAATGGGGTTGATTTACTAACCTTTTAAACACACCACGAACGTGTATACACCTCTGTAGTGTGTTCCCTCCCAGCATGATCTATGGGAGGAATCGAAACACCTTTGTAGTGTGTACACACCCAGCAGGTGTGTTGTGCAAAGCCCTGCAATGAATTGCAGGGTAATGTGGTGTAAATTAGCTCTATGTTATGTTGCTTGCGTTGATGAATCCAGGAATGTAAATGCATGAGCTAACCATTTTTGTCTAAACTGTGAAGCAGCATTATATATGCATCATGTGCATGATTTTTCCATATATGGCATTAGTGGAAATATGCTTTTAGAGACTTTTTGGTTGATAAATACGTTTTGCTGTGTGAAAATCACACACACCTGGTGTGTGTGTGTGTTTAGGTTAGTAAATCACCCCCAATGAGTGAAACAGACATGGAAGCTACTGCTAAATTATGGAAGCAGTCCTTTTAAGCATATAGCAATTAAATAAAATGATCCCTCTAGTGGCGAATCACCAAATCTCTATGTATAACAAAAATATACAAAAATATAAAAAAGCAATCATGAACAATTTGACGTTGAAAACACTACACAGCCAATGCACTAGTGTTAGTACATAAGTACTACTTATGTGCAGTTGTTTTCCCAGGTTCTTTTCTGGATTCTGAAAACTTTATGTATGGTCATACACATTATAGTTTTTGTGGGTGTGATAAAAGGTTCAATATGGACTCTTTTGCAAATAATCACAGTGTATCACGTAGCAGCTGGCTTTCAGCAGTGTGCTATTGCAGCTGTCAGATGCACACATTTAAACCCCCTCTGACCTTACATAGATAACTATAGAATTTTTCCTGTGTGGTCAAAGATATGCTGCAAATGTTGTTGCTTCCAAAGGCCTAGTGTTTAATTATGCATACTGCATTTCCTTCAAGTCATTCTACAATCTTTGCTGCATTGGCTAAAAAAATCCCCATAGTTACCATTTTACGTGACCCAGCCTTTATTATCCTTTAGCAGTGTTTGTGAACCTATTGTCCTAATGTATTGAATGGTATTGGCTCCACCTTCTTGGCATCAATGTATGCTAACCAGCATGGCTTTTGTAAACAGACTATCCATGTGTATATTCCATCTTAGATAATTTCCTGTTCACAATTGTTTAATAATGACCTGGCATTACTGACTACCTGTGCTACACAATCTCTTGCATATGAACAACTCAAATGAAAACAATAACTAAACATGAAATTCCCTCTTCCATAATTTTATTTGTACAATATATAGTTTCTGACAATAGTTTAAGCTTTTTTAGGCATTGTCCTTTGCATAAACACAAGGGTCAAGAAGTGAGATCAAATGTGAACAGGAGGAACCCTTAGTGTATAATATTATTATACCACTTGACCCTCTTAAATCTGCTGTATTTAAATTGTATTGTAACTGTAATGTATCTACCCATTTTGTAAAGCACTGCACAAACTATTGGCACTATATAAATCCTGAATAATAATAATGATAATAATTATTATTATTTTTATTTTTAAGCTATGCTTACTAAGGAAAGTTAACAGATGCCAAACATTATACAGGATAGAAGCATAGTGCTTTGAGGCCACATACCACAATTTCAGACAATAACTTATTTTACAACAATTCTTATTTCAGGGAAACCAATACTGAAATTAATAGGGAGGCTGTCATTGCTTACCTCTCCTCCTGAAAATGTTAGCTGTATGGCTTTCATGCTGATCTAATGGCTTCAAAGCTTTCTGAGGCACATATTTGGGCAGGAATTCTGACGTTCCACTCTTACTTTCTAATCTGCATGCTTGTTCCAGGCCAGTTAACTAGAACTTTACTAAAGGCTAAGACAGGCAGCTCATATTCACAGAAAAAGGTCAGCAATTGCAGTCCCTGTATTTCTCTCTTTACAAGTTTCCTTTACAACTTAAGAAATAGGATAGCTTGTAACTCAGGTGATATGTTTATAATTGGTTTAGAGAGCTAATATATATATATTTTAAAGAAGCAAAAATATTTGGAAAACATACAGGATAACTGAACTGTAACATTTACCTTTTCCTTCCCTGTGACTTGAGAGTTGCCATTACAAACCCAGAACAGTATAATCATTGTGATGCTTACATTAGGCATAATTATGTCTGCACTGTACCTGCAGATAAGGACTGAAAACAAGGAAAGCATCTGCTCCATAAATCTTTGTGATTCATGCAACCTGATTCACTATCACAATGACATTCAAACGCCAATTGTGATCATCCATTCACCAGCAGCATAGGAAGTAATAGGTGCATAGAACCACCACTTGAAAAGGACAAGCCATTAGTGAATTTAAAATTGTTCAGAAATATGTCTGTGCATTGATATTACCCCAAAAAGGTATATCTTACCATAACAGATGTGTATTAACCACTTGCATTTGCCATAAAGTAGTGTCTTCACTTCCAGGAGCCATTAATAGTGCATTTTACTACACTGCAATGCACTGGCATATTCACAAACTGCTTTAAAAAGGTGGCCTATATCGCTACAACAGTTGAAAGACTTGATGTCCATTTTTCGACTATCCAAATGGTATCTTGAAGCGAAACTAAAGAATTCCCTAGGCCCTTTGGATGTCCATTGACCCACGGTCCCCTTCATTCGAACATTTTTCCCATCACCTTACAGTGTATATGGTATATAGTAACCCCGATATATCCTATGATTACCTTTATAGTGGTGAGGTTGTCTTCTACCCACTGTACTATTTCTATGGCTCTCTCACTAGAGACGCTACATGGCTGTAGCGCATTTTCAGTGCAATGTTTTTCTTTATCCTTATTTCGATCGGTATTGTATTTCTGTCAGCTTTTCTCAGGTACAGTCTGCATACTGGTACCGGCTCTGTGATACATGCCGATACTTGAACATGTTTGCATTACCTTATACTCAATAAAAACTGGCATGCTAAAAAAAAAGGTGCCCTCTGACTTAGTGTATCTACTGTGAGAATATTTTACGTTTAGTACCCAGGACAAGTAGGGTATCAGCAATTCATCGTAATGTCCAATCTACTTCTCACAGTTGCTTGGGTAGAATTACAGTTAATAGGGGGTGAGGATGTCTTGCCTAAACATATGGAGAGATTGCCTTCTTCTAGTGGTTTGTAATCTCCATTGATTACATAAGTACAGTACAAAAATAATAATGTATGGCTCATGGCACTAAAAATGTATTCAAAAGTTATGGTATTTGGTGGAGATCCCTTCCTTGCTTTCAGTCCTTGCATAGAGTTAGAGTAAAGGTAAATACAGCTTAAATGTAAACACAGCAATGTTTTGGCCATCTCCTCCATGTAGCAAAATACAATCACAGTGGATCACATAGTTTCAATGGCACTTTATCATTCATCCATTCATTATTCCCTCAACTGTATGTCCCATCAACTGTCAACCATAATTCTTGAAAAATATTCGTGCTATATCTTTTCTGGAAAAACCATACATGTATTTGAGTATTATGTTTCTAAACAATACCATTGTTCTAATATGTTTCAAGTCCTTAATGATTGAAAAACCTACATGTGAACCAATTTACATGACAAAAAAGTTGCAGATTTGTTAAGCCAGTCTTGTAATCTAGTCACTCTTGTCTTAAAGGTTAGCATGGTTCTGGACCTCTCTGCAGACTGTTTCAGTTAACCAGTACATCCAGGTCTATGATCTGCCCTAACCTTTGCTTTCTCCTCTAGTAAGCATACCAGTGCAATGCAAAAGAACCATATTTGGCACAGGGTTCTAAAACTCCCTCTCCCATTCTGTGCAGTGGGTTACAAGAAGCTAATGTATAGACAGATCCAGGCACGTGTGCTAATTCTATGTAGAACAAAACTGAAATAAACTGTGTTTTATATGTGCTGAGGTTCAGCATTAAGTCTATTACTTTATGCTTGTATAAAAATTTTATCGTGAAAGCCATGTGTATGCAAATACTGATTACACTATTTCTAAAAAATGATGCAAATAGAAATACTGATGACCAATATTTCTACAAAATGAATTAAATAGTTGCATTAAAAAGTAAATATACCCTGAAGAAAGATTTATTCAGTCCATCATTGTAACTGTGTAATTAATATTATTCTGTTTTATTTATGTTTTCTTTTTATTTACTGACAAAGAATTCTAATGTGAGTACAACGAAAGGAAGTAGAATGCCTTTCAAAACAGCTGTAAGAGTATCAAAGTTAAATTCTGTTTTATTCATAACACTATAATGTATGGTTAAACAATGACAGTGACTAATCTTACCTGGAATTGTAGTTTTAAAGTGCAGTAAAACCCCAGGACCTGTAAATAAAACAAATCCTATTAAATCAGCAGGAAATTAAACAGACACACCACATAAACAAGCCACATGACAGATCAATACTTAAAGTAATTAATAATAATGTACATGTGGTGAATCAATGAAAGCCAACTATTTTAATGGAAAACGCTGGTTAGGATAGATTCATAAAAAGAAAATTGGTTATGATTGTAATAACTACTAAAAATTCTTGGAGTTAATTGTTTTAGAGCAATGTTTAACAGTCTTATTATGTTCTTTTCTCTTTGTCACATTGTCATCATCTTAAATGTACCTGGGAAAGATCATAATAATATTACAATTCCTGGGGACTATCCTACTTCTCACACCCCTACATTGGCAAATATGGAGCAAGATTAGTTTTGCCAGTAAAACTCCTCTGTTTCCCTGGAATGCAAAGTTCCTATTCATAAAGTAACATTACATACACATTGGTTAAGAGCAAAATCTTGTACATACCTACTGCCTGCTGTCCTGCACAGCTTACATGTTCAGCTGAACCGAAGACAGCTGAAGCAAGCCGTACATCGGCTGAAATCAGCCGTACAAGCCTGAGGTGAATAGTCAAACAGCGTTCGGCTCCCTTCACTTCGGCTTGGTTTGTCACTTGGCTGCCTTCGGCAGCTTTGTGAATAACCCTTTAAATGTTATGTAGGTAGGTGAAGGGAGGGGCGGAGATTCTGAGCCAGCACAGAGAGTAACTAAACCCCCTTAGAAGAGGAGAGGGCTATGATGTACAGGGGAGAGGGATGTGCTAGGGAATTGATGCTTCCTTGCATAACCAATTTTTTTTAGAAAATTCAAAGGTGCATTTCAAATTAATGAAAAAGCATTTATTAAAAGAAAAACTTTGCAAGTAAGCAAACTGCTATTTAGGTTGATGACAGGGTCAATTTAATCATCTTAAATAAATATATGATCTGTGTGTCATATCTTTAAGACAAGGAAACAAGCTTCACTGCTTTATAAGCGTGCCCAATTTTGTCCACAGAGGAGCTCAGTCATGCATTATGTGCTGTAAAATGCTTCATATTTTTGTAACAATGAAGTTACTCCAATTTTTGTGAATATTCCAAAATTCAGCACCTATTTTATATTTAAGTGTGTGTGTGTGTATACAGTATATATACATGTACTGGTTAATATGCAGATTAGGTTGTTTTTCGTCAGTTTTGCCAATAATTTGCCTATAAATGAGTCACCGTTGAAAAATGAAGTCTACAGATATTCACTTGATTATTTAACAGACAGGATGGACAATTAAGTGGGAACATTCCAAAAGGCCAGAGGTTCTTCTAAGAGATCTTCTATAAATGCATGTTATAGACTGCACAATTTTTGTCTCATTCTATTGCATTTCCGAAGAACTTGTAATATCACGCTCACTGTTAGTGAATAGCATAAGGCCTAGCATCTTAGGGATATTTTTCTTTTCATATTTTTGCTGTAAGATGAACAGAAAAAAGTACAGGTCATAGGTTTAGACTATATAATTTAACATATAGATTTCCACCCTTGCCCTGACTGCTTTGACTTGACAATCAATATAAGTAATGAAAAGAACAGTCATGTGTTTTCCCATTGTTCCTTTTAATCACTGTCAGTAAAATGCCATGCCTAGGTAATTTGATGTCCCTCAAGGAATAAGTCATTAGTCTGTTTGTATGGTTTTTAAAACCCAGAACAGGAATGTAGAAAAGATTGTTAAAGTGGGTTCAAAGGCTAACAGCCATTCAGGAAATCATTAGAATTCTTTTTTTATTTTCAGTAGAAAGACTGGAAATTGGTTTACTTGAATATACTTTTTTGATTTATAAAATATGGACAAATCAATTCTAATCTGTCACCCATGTACAGTGTACATGTTCATTGTGTATTAAATGACAATATAAAATATATTTTATAATTGAGCTTCAAAAAAATAACATGTTGCAAAACACACTAATCAATTATTAGTACAGATGTCAACAAACAACTGAAAAATAAAGCACCACTACACATTTTAAGCACTATGTTGTTTATTTAAATTCATTGTTATACTTGTAATCATAATCTTGTAAGTAATGGCTTGATTAGATCCTGACCTCACATAGGTAGCACCATATTGCATTCATGTTCTATTCTAAGCAGCTCAGCTTCCCCTGCTCCCTCTCTCAGCAGTGCCTCAGCCTTCTATCTAATCTTAAAACAGAGGAGGGTCCCTGGAAGGGGGGAGCAAGGAAAAACGAACTGCTGATATAAATATCTGATATCTTCTTAAATATGTTATATATATGTACACACACACACACACACACACACACACACACACACACACACACACACTGATGTCTTCAGAGCTTCTACAGTGAAATACGCTCATGAATTGCAGCACCACTCAGTTCATTTTGCATTGGAAATACCCACCTATAGTAGAAGGCTGGTTTATTCTCTAATAAAATATGATTAAATATAACTTAAAAGTGTCCAGAGTTCTAGATCCTTACCCATGAATTGCATTATGGGTACAGTTTTAGTTAACAAAAAATAAAGCATTTTTAACATGTTTATTTACCTTTAACAAATAAAGAACCTCAATGCCAGGAACACAAAGCTTCTGCATTTCAGGTGCTAAGGGCAAGGTGGAGTAGTAAGGGATGGGATAAAAGGCAACATATATAGGGTAGGTGGTTACATTTCTTCCCCTCCCTTGTGAGCTGGTCAATAGTAACATAGGTTTAATATGAAGAAATCAACTTAATCTGTGCAAATTTGAGATGAGTTTTTCTATCATATACTGTTTGAGGCAGATTAGCTGCATGTGCATGAGTTTGCTCCACTGCTAATTCCTGAAGGGTATTGTGTTTGATTTCTATAGTTAACCAGACAACAACAGTTTTGATATTAATCTGTCTCCTTCATTTGGCATATGAAAAGCACAACCAAAACCAAAATTATAAGTATTATTCCTTAATACAGTGAGAGATGCAAATTTTGACATACACATTTTGTAATGCTTTGTGCGTAAATTTAAATAATGGCACATAAATTCAGATCCTGCCAATAATACCAGAAGATATTTTAATAGTCTTGCATATAAGTTTCAGCCGGAACAATTATCAACTAATGAAAGACAATTAAAAAATAATCAGCATGATGCAGATTGTCAGAGTTTGCATTCAATCACAAATGTGTACTTGAAATAAACTAAACACTCTGAAGTGACTATAAAATGCACTGCATTTAAATTATCACTCAGTGTTTTGCAGTTTATTAGATTTGTTCTATTCGACAGCTTAATAGTAAACTCATTTTGCGAGACAGATTTTACAGAAGTATTTTTCAAAGTTGTAGTTAAACAGGCAGGACATTTTAGACAGGCTACAAGGTAATAAGAAACTAACAGAACATTAGGTTTTTGCATTACAATCTGAATAAAAGTCCTCAATCAATACACAATTCAGATCATTTGAGCCATTGTCTGAATATTGGTTCATTTGAAAATTACTACATTTTTTGCATAGAAGTCTATTAATGTAATAACTGTCCTGATTCATCGAACTGTTATAAGCACCATGCCAGTGCTACAGTTTTCTCAATCCCTACTGCTGTCACTTTTTCTAGAAAACTTGGTCAGGGGCAGAAAGATATAATTAAAGGGACATAATAGTGCTCCCTTAAGTGATAGGGTTACATTTAGTTTTAAGATTTAGGGAGTTATCATCTAAATGATAAAGTTAGGTTTTAGGACTGAGGGTAAGATATCTATTTATCAAGGTTTGTACCAAAGAATCTTTCATCTAAGATTTAAATGTTTTCACATGATTTTCAGTTAGAAAAAGTCTCAATCTTGAGTGAAAGTTGTGTGAAAGTTGTGTGACTTTTGATTGAAAGGATACATTTTGTAGAAGCCCCAACTAGAAATGATGCTCTGCTGGATCTGGTAATCTCAAACGATGCAAAACGTATTACAAATATTCATATAAAAGAACATCTGGGTAGCAGTGACCACAATATGATTTAATTTAACTTAAATTGTAAACAACATGCGCATACCGGGAAAATAAAAACACTAAACTTCAGGAGAGCAAATTTCCCCATGCTGAAAGCTGCTCCTCAATACTGGGGGAACACTTTGGGGTCTATTCACTAAGCTGCCGTAGGCAGCCGAGTGAATGACCGACCTGAAGTGAAGTGAGCCGAACACTGAAATCAGCCATACATCGGCTTGCTTCGCGTGGCTTCGGGTTGGCCGAACATGCTTAGCATGTTTGGCGGACACGAAGTGCAGAAGGAGTTCGACTCATCCGATCCAACATCTGGATCGGCTGAGCCGAACCTCCGGCAGGCTACTCACTGCTGTTCGGGCTATTCTTAAAGATGCCGAACAGAACGGAGCTAGCCGTAAGATCAAGGCTGGCTCCGCCTAGCTGTCAGAAGCAGGCTGTCGGCCGGCCAATGGCCGGCCGCTCGGTTAGCTTCGGCTTTCAGCACGGCTCAGCCGAGCCGATGCATATGCGTTCGGCTCGACTGAGCCGCTCGGCCATGTTCGGGAGCTGTACGGGCTATTGTGAATAGCCCGTACAGCACCCCTTCGGTTCTACTGAACCAAAGGAGTCCTGGGGCCGAAGCTAACCGAAGGATCGGCCTGTAATAATCGCCCTGACTCGGGCTTCTATGTAATATGGATCTCAACTGCGGTGTCTGGGTACGGGTATCAGAGTAGCAGCTGCCCTCACGTGCCCCGTTTTTGCAGGAGGCTGAGAGGGAGCTGCTTCACATCATTCCCCCGCTGGGGTTAAGGGTGCCAAGTAAACACAGTAAACCTGTGTAATCACAGCAGTGTTTATAACCAGTATGAGCTGGGCAGTACAGCAATGGATCTATTGTGCATGAGAGGAGTAATACAGCAGTGTTCAACCCGTAGGAGATGAGAAGTACAGCAATGGTTAAGTAGCATGAGATGAGCAGTACGGCAATGGTTAATCAGCATGAGATGAGC